GGGGGGTCCATGAACAAATAATGGCACGTTTTATTGTTTTTATATTTTAAAGGGCAGATAATTATGATTTATTTATAATATTATTTAAATATTAAATATTAAAATGATTATTATAAATTAATTATTTAATATAGTTAAATTTTATTTATATATTTATTTATTTAAATTATTTGTATACTATAAGTTGTCTTTTATATCTTAAATGTATTCAATGCAGTTCATGGAGCAAAAAATCCAGAACCTGATGATGGAATATGTTTTATTATTATTGTGATGTTTTATGGTGCAGATGAAGCTCAGGGCAAAAAGGCCAAGCAGAGCATCAGAGTGAAATGTGTTCAGCAGTTCCTGAAGAAGAAAGAGAGCGCACCGCCCTCCAAACCAGTCAAAGTTCCCCAGTCTGACGATAAAGGGTGGATTAAAATCGACTAATCCACTTCCTGTTAAACACAATGCCAAATTTCATTTTATACAGGACTGACAGTGATGACGGCGATGCAGAGAAAAAGAAATTCCAAAGTCAACTCCAAGGTACAACATTTTGTGTCCAACAGACTTGATTAAAGAAGCCACAACAAGAGAAAAAAACATGGATTTTCATACTTCCCAGGTGCTATTGTCATGAAGAAACCAAACATTAAGTGGGACGATGTTGCTGGTTTGGAAGGAACCAAAGAGGCCCTTAAAGAAGCGGTCATCCTGCCAATCAAATTCCCTCATCTTTTCACTGGTATGACGGGTTACATGAATTAATATGTCTGAAAATGTCTTCTGAAGTGTTCTGAAGCTCATCACTATCCGCAGGGAAACGCACTCCCTGAGATCGACTCCATGTGCGGCTCCAGAAACGTGAACGAGAGCGAAGCGGCCCGCAGGATCAAGACTGAGTTTCTGGTCCAGATGCAAGGTAAACGCAAAGCTAGCGATAGCTTTGTCGCAATAGCAAATTTGGCGCTGTCTGAGTCTCATTTGACAGGGTTGTTATAATTTTGTATATAATATAATATATAAATATAATGTAATTTTTTTAGTTTATTTGCTTATGTAGGTTCAATACTAGGGCTGTGCGATTAATCGGAATCATCATAAATTCACGATATGAGCATGCACGATTTCTAAATCGCTTTACAGCACAATTTTCTGCACCCCGACCTTCCGCAGTATTCTATCCGAACCAATCAGAATGCTGCTCGCCTAAATGGAGTGCGAGAACAGAACAGAATGGGCATACAGACGTAACGCCAGGTTCACACACTCTGTCTGTGGTGTGTATGCGGTGCGTATTTTTTCTGCGCCCATGTTAACGGATCAGAGCATTCACACTGCATACAACTGCGGTCCGGCAGTGCGCTCCAGGAGCGGTGCGTCTGCAGCAGTCATGCGGCGATCGTTTCCGCACAGAGTCTATTTCTGCTGTGCTGCACGCGCTGAATTAAAGTGACAGTGCATTGTTCATGGTAAAAATTAACATGGATTGACACAGAAATGTAGTAATTACACCAAAGTCTACTGCTATAATAATACTGCTTTAATTCGACGAATATTCGAAATTCCCCAAAAAATTTGACAGCCCTACTGTACATTATTGACTCTCCTCTATGCCCCGCCTTTCTGAAACGATTTTTACAAAGCTCATCCTTCTGAAAAGCGAGGTGTGCTCTGATTGGCCAACTATCCACTGCGTTGTGATTGGCCGAATACCTCAAGCGTGTGACGGAAATGTTATGCCCCTTACAAGACTGTGATGGAGCGATGAGACAAAAACATTAAAACCCATTATAAATGAGGCATTTGTTGCATCCAATGGGGACATAATTATGGATTATAATGACTTATACTGTCTTTTTACGCGTTGCGTTGCATCGTGCCGCGTAAACATAAAACCATGTCTGCATTTGTGATCAGAGAAATGACAAACAACAAGCGCTACTCTACACTGCTCAAAACTCACGTTTGAATCATCAGTGGCAAATCCTTTAAATATGAAAACGTACCTCCAGACTGTGAGTCAGAACAGCCGGCATTGTAGTCTACTCTCCCAGGATCAGTAAACAGTCCTCCATAAAATGTGCTGCACACATCTGAATATTTGGGTTGAACTGTTCTGGAACAGTGTTGTAAATACAACTTGTTATTTTTTCTGCCATGGAATAAAAAATAAATACTAATTGCAACTTTATATCTTACAATTCATTTTATTTCTCATAATTCCATCTTTTCTTCTCAGAATTATGAGTTCATATCTTGTAATTCTGAATTTATATATGTATGAGATTAAAAAATCTAAATTACTACTTTTTTTTAATCCTATTGTGGAAACAAGCTTGCATTGGTTTGCGCACCTAGTAAAGTGTCTAATCGAGCTGAATCTGTCCTCTCATGTCTGTTTTAACAGGTCAGAGGAAAGGCATGGAACAACCCAGATGTTGTGGTGGATGACCTCTTAACGCCCTGCTCTCCAAACGACCCAGGCACAATCCAGATGACCTGGGTGGATGCAGCGAGCGATAAACTCCTGGAGCCGATAGTCAGCTTGGTAAGCTTGCAACTAGAGGAGGAAAAAAGCTGAATTCCCAGAGCTTGTTTTTATTTATTTCTATTTCTATTTTTTATCCCATGGCGCAAGCAAGCTACCATATTCTGTTATTTTTTCTGCCATGGAATAAAAAGTAAATACTAATTGCAACTTTATATCTTACAATTCATTTTATTTCTCATAATTCCAGCTTTTTTTCTCAGAATTATGAGTTCATATCTTGTAATTCTGAATTTATATATGTATGAGATTAAAAAATCAAAATTACTACTTTTTTTTAATCTTATTGTGGAAACAAGCTTGCATTGGTTTGCGCACCTAGTAAAGTGTCTAATCGAGCTGAATCTGTCCTCTCATGTCTGTTTTAACAGGTCAGAGGAAAGGCATGGAACAACCCAGATGTTGTGGTGGATGACCTCTTAACGCCCTGCTCTCCAAACGACCCAGGCACAATCCAGATGACCTGGGTGGATGCAGCGAGCGATAAACTCCTGGAGCCGATAGTCAGCTTGGTAAGCTTGCAACTAGAGGAGGAAAAAAGCTGAATTCCCAGAGCTTGTTTTGACCTTCTAGTCTGCGTGTCTCAGGAGGACATGTTGAGGTCGCTTGAGAAAACCAAGCCCACTGTGAACGAGGAGGATCTGGAGAAGCTGAAGCAGTTCACTGAGGACTTTGGCCAGGAGGGATGAATTTTTGCAGGATTCACGTGGCATTTATTTATTTTTTTCCATCATGTTTACAAAGCTCCCTCTCCATATTTTATTTTTCAAATTCTTTGATCAGTCTTTAACCCTGAGATTTTTTGGGAGGTGTAACAATTTTGTGAGCCTTAATATTATCCTGAACATAACCATTCAGATCAGATATCCATTCATTATTACTAAAAGTCCTCTTAATTTTAAATGGTTTGTTGCAAATGGGTCATGATATTTTTACTTGGACTTTTGAGAGAGATTAAAAAAAAAAGATCATTTGTATTTAAGTTGGTCACTTGTGCCTTAATATCTGGTTACTTTTGTACCTTATTGCCAAATAAGACTTAAAAACGACTGGTCTTAAAACCACTAACTTTAAAGCGAATAAATACAAAGACAACCAGTGAGCTGTGAAAAAGTGTTTACAAATATGTGAATACATGTTTTGGGTGTGTAGACCTCTTTCTTTGTCGCCTTTGAAGTGTTTATTATTTTTCTACTTTCGTCAGTAAATGAAATGTTTAAACTACCTCTAAGCGCGTGATTCTCCATTTTGTGGTTTCATGTCTTGTTCCGTTTTTACTTTCATCTAATGCCTAGCCCTGTTGAAAAAACCAGCATATGCTGGTTAGGTATGTTTTGACGCTTGGATGTTGGTTTAAGCTGGTCCTTTGCTGGTTTATGCTGGTGCTTTGCTGGTTTATGCTGGT